CCCCAAAACCCCAAAACCCCAAAACCCCAAAACCCCTTGTTTAGAGTTTCTGATTGAAAATATTGAATAATTTTATAGACCACAGGATTGGAGCCAAAGATGCCAAGAAATTTTAAACCCCCACCCATGCAAGTGCAGATCCCTGCTTATAAGATGGATAAGATTTCTAAGATCGCTGTGTTTGGGACAATGGAGCAAGGCACTCTGTTAGGGTCACCGTTGCCTTTCCCTGATTTTACTCAGAATAGAGCGAATATTGTCTCTGAAGGATTTCCAAAAGGCGTCATGACTATCTTTGATCTTATTAAAAGTATCGTCTTTGGGATAAAATATAGAGACTGCAGTGAATAATAAGCTGACTGGGGTCTCCGCACCTCAGGTCGATATGGAGGAAACATTCTTCCTGTTACATAAAGAGATTATGGAAAATAATTACACATCAGAGTTAGAAGAAAGAAACCAGTTTTATCCAGAAGAATATGAAGTTGTTATAAACCCTTTCATTGAATACGAAACAGTAGACAATACTGAGGATTATGAGTACTCGGCGTCTTTTCCTCAGTTCCAGTCGGTGATTGCTCGACCTGACAAGATTAGTGTCCACTATACTGATGAGAATATGGACAGAGCTACAGCATCTCTATCAGGTCTCAACGCTAGACACTTCCTAAGCCATTGGGACATGATGATGGGTGAGAGCATCATTTGGTGGTACAGAAATCATGGCAGAATCTCTGTTAAAGATGAGCTCAGGGAAGATTTCCCTCACCTCATCCAAATGTGAGAAAAGGTATATGCTTATCTAACATTCTAGTACTATAATCAAAGAGTTGGTGAGTTCATAAAAGACTTCCCTGAGTTCTTGGAAGAATTCAGGCCTCATGGCTTAGTAACTAAGGATGGTGTCCAACTAAGGCAATTCTACCCTGATACAGATATACATGAGTGTCTTGATAACAAGTAAGTCCTCTCCTCACTCTTAGAGTTATTACTATGGAAGAAAACCTCGAGCTTGATTACATCAGAGCTATCAGGAAGGATCTTAGAGCACTGAAGCTAGCAAGTGATAATTCAACCGAGCATTACCAATGAGGGGTTTTGGGGTTTTGGGGTTTTGGGGTTTTGGGG